GATGTTCCGCTTTCACTTGTCCAAACTTTGTGCTCTGAGACACGAACTCGGCTATCTCTCTTTTCATATTCGGCCACCAAAAGGTCTGTTTCACATCTTGATACATCTTGGTGTCCCCTGGATGAACTGCAAATCTAGATCCATGAGAGTCTTGCAAAATCCTTCTTTTCAATTCTGGGACGTCGGCCACGCACAATCTTCCTTCAAACTTAAGTACTCCATTCTCAAGGGTGTAACCCAACCTCGGCTTGGTGGTAATCTCGTCGGCTACCTTCTTCAGGAATCCATCCTCCATTTGCCTTGCCTTTACTTCCCCAATAGTAGTTAGCTCTACTGAAATCATGGCTAGGCATGCCAATCTTCCCACTGACTTCCTACTCAATGCGTCGGCTACCGAGTTTGCTTTACCTGGATGATACTGAATCTGCATGTCGTAATCTTTCAATAATTCAAGTCATCTTCTCTGCCTCAGGTTTAGTTCCTTTTGGGTGAACAGGTACTTCAAACTCTTGTGATCCATAAAAACTTGGCAAAAGGCTCCATACAAGTAGTGGCGCCAAATCTTCAAAGCAAACACCACGGCTTCTAGCTCAAGATCATGGGTTGGATAGTTCTTTTCATGAAGTTTCAACTGACGAGATGCATATGCTATGACTCTGCCCCCTTGCACCAATACACAACCCAAACCCTTATGCGAAGCATCACTGAAAATATGAAATTCCTCATTACCTGACGGGAGTATAAGAACTGGTGCCGTAACTAACCTCGTCTTCAACTCTTGGAAGGCTGATTCTCTATCATCAGTCCATTCATATGCTGTTCCTTTCTTAGTTAGTTGTGTCAATGGTACTGCTATCCTTAAGAAGTCCTTCACGAACTTTCTGTAATAACCTGCCAAGCCTAGAAAACTACGAACCTCGGACACGTTGGTCGGCGTCGGCCAATTCACAATGGCTTCAATCTTACTCGGATCAACTGATATACCCTCTTCATTAATCACATGCCCTAAAAATGAGATGCTGGAAATCCAAAACTCGCATTTACTCAACTTGGCGTACAGCTTCTTGTCTCTCAAAGTGTGCAAGGCAAGCCTCAGATGGTTCTCGTGCTCAATTGTACTCTTGGAATAGATCAATATGTCGTCAATAAAAACAACTACGAACTCATCTAGATACGGCTTAAAGACTCTGTTCATCAAGTCCGTGAACGCTGCAGGAGCATTAGTTACTCCGAAAGGCATTACCAAAAATTCGTAGTGGCCATACCTTGTTCGAAAAGCTGTCTTCTCAATGTCCTCGGCTTTAACCTTCAACTGGTGGTAGCCCGACCTAAGGTCAACCTTGGAAAAGACTTGTGCCCCTTGTAATTGATCAAGCAGATCGTCAATTCTAGGCAATGGGTACTTGTTCTTGATGGTTACCGTATTAGGTTCTCTGTAATCAATACAAAGGCGAAGTGTGCCATCCTTTTTCTTAACAAATAAAACGGGTGCTCCCCACGGTGAAGTGCTCGGCCTAATGAATCCCTTATCCAACAATTCTTGTAACTGTAGTTTCAGTTCTCTAAGTTCAGCTGGGGCCATCCTATAGGGTGTTTTGGAGATAGGTTGCGTTCCCGACACGAGGTCCACAGTAAACTCTATTTCTCTATCGACTAAGTGGCCAGGCAGCTCATTTGGAAAGACGTCGGGAAATTCCTTAACAACTGGTATGTCGGCTAACTCAACACTCTCATTCAAATCACTTAGTATACTGCACAAATAACCTTGACACCCCTTTTGGATTAACTTATATGCTTTCATGGATGAGATTAAGTAGGGTGGGGGTACTACTCCCTTACCCTGGAAAAAGACCTCGGCTTCGGTTGGGGTCTTTAATGTAACGCTCTTAGTAACACAATTAATGGATGCATGATGCGCTACTAACCAATCCATTCCCAATGTGACATCGAAGTGAGTCATGCTTAATGGCATCAAATCAGCTAATAATTCTACATCCTCAATCACCACAACACACGCCCCATATATGGATGCAATAATTATAGTTCCCCCAGATGGAGTAGATACATATATCACATAATCAAGGGGTTCTAACGGTCTATTCAACTTCTCGGCAAACTTAACAGATAGAAATGAATGTGTAGCGCCTGAATCAATCAAGACGTATGCAACTTGAGAGCAAATTGAGAGTGTACCTGACACTACCGTTTCAGCATTCTGGGTGTCTCCTGGCACTAGAGCAAAAACTCTGCCCTGCCTCATTTGTGTCCTTCCGACGTTGCTTCCCTGTGCGGAGCCCAAGGTGCTCCCATTTTTCTTACCATCATTAGCTCTTGCCTTTGGACAGTCTTTCACGCGGTGGCCTATCTCGCCACATTCAAAGCAGGCTCCTGTCGCCCAGCGACAAACCCCAAGATGCGGCTTCCCACAACTCGCACACGTCGGCTTAGCATTTCCGTCCCGATCTGAGTTGCTGGAACTGCCCACATTCGCCTTCTTCTTAGCATTAAATGGCATCCGACGACCTTCATAGTTCTGTCTCTTCCTCTGACTCTCTCCTGAACTTTGATATCGGTTTAAGTTGGCTTCCGCCAAGATGGCCTTGTCTAACACCTCAGCATAAGTCAGCATATTCAGCATGTTGACCCGATCCTGAATTGGTCCACGTAGTCCATTTTCAAACTTCCTGGCTTTCTTATACTCATCACTGACCATATGAGGCGCATATCCCGCCAATTCGGTGAAGGCACGGTCGTACTCTGCCACTGTTCTGTTGCCTTGTGTCAGAGTCTGGAACTCTGTGGTCTTGCGATCTCGGACGCCAAGCGGAAAATGCTTGTTGTAAAACAGTTCCAAAAATCTGGCCCAAGTTAAACCAGGGTTAGCCTCCCGGATCATCATCCACCACCTTCGAGCGTCGTCGTCTAGTGTGAATGCTACTAATGTCACCGTCTGAGTGTCGGTGCTAGGAAAGATCTCGAACAACTTTTCCATTTCCAAAACCCACGCCTTGGCCTTCATCGGCTCTATGCCCCCTGCGAATCTTGGTGGGTTCATCTTCTTGAACTCTTTAATCAAAGTCATCATCCCTTCCCCATACAAGGCTGGCTGTGGAGGCACTTGGGGCACTGGAAGAGGTGGAGCTGCATGTCGGCCATCCGTCTGTTCGGCCGGGGTAGATGTAGCACTTGCATTCTGTTGCCTCATCTGCCTCAACTCACGAGTTAAACCTTCAACTAGTCTCTCCAGTCTGTCCAATCTATCCTCTGGTTGATCTTGGCCAACTGATGGTCTACCTCTCCTTATGATGTTATGAGTAGGCAAAATGCAACCCTAAAACAAACTGAACCAAGAACCATGTATGCAAATAACAAATGGTTATGCCGAGAT